AGCAACAGCCACAGGGCCACGTTCAGTGCCGGAAAATCCTCCAGCCACGCTGACATTTGATTCCACCAAGGGCAGCATGGGGAAACACAAAAAAAAATAAAAGAAAATAAAAGGTGGACACGCGTATATTTCTTGGGTGTTTCAGGATGCAAGCGGGTAATGGGTATAAGGAAAATTAAACCCATCAGAGAACGTAGGAAAATGATACCGAACTCTTATTAAATTTTTTTTCTTTTAAAATATGCTTTCTTGATTTCTAAGGATTTTCTTTATATAACCTTTATAACCTTTATATAACCTTCAAACATATTGTGATCTAATTAATATAATAACTCTATTAATCAGCGGACCTCTTGTCCACCTAATAAAATAAATAACCATTTACCAGATAATTATATTGGTAAAACCAAAACTAACCACAACACCGTGACTGTCAAATAAAAATATAATTTGTTCTCACCATATATCATGATAAATTCAATTAAAATATATTTGGGACAATCAAAAACCTAATTACTTCACCATTTAATTGAATTGATTGTAGAAAATCGACTATATAAACTAAAATCTAGTTTATAAAAAAATAATTGCAGCCCAAATGGCTTCATTTCCGTTTGCTGAAAACAATAAATTATTGAAAAACAAGTGGAAATAGAAATTCCTGAAATTGCAAGCAACGTGGTTTGTGTTTTTGTTCATTTAATTACTGCTTCAGTTGTTGGAATTGCGTGGAATTTCACGTTGCACAGGAAGGCAGGTTCCCAGTGACATTATTTTTTGTTGAATTCACTGCTTCAAGGTAAGGATTTTCACCTGCTCTTTGAGCTCATCATGAGCCCTTTCGGTCGCCGGCAATGCAAGTGGCCCATTTAGCCGGTAGGCCTTTTGACATGAGTAGCCGGCAACGGAGTGGGCCTGGGAAAAGTGAATGTGGAAACAGTTTCCACTCAGGAGATGTGTTTACCGTGGGCAAATGTGCCAGAGAAGGCATTGCTAACTCGTCTAATTTCGTCCTGGCTTGATGCTTCCTCGAGTGCCGGCAACGGACCGTCTAAGCTCACGTTTGGCCCACTTAATGGAGGGTCACATCCAACTCCCACTTAGCATTTCCCATTTTTCTAAGCATCAGTGTTGCCATTTAGGGGTTCCTTAACACTTAAAAGTTAAAAATGGTAAGAAATACATATTAAGAAAGGGCAAAGGAAGTGATTATTTTATAATTATGACTACAGAAATTTATAGAAAAACGTTAGACCTTTGTCTTTGCTTTTACTATATTTACAAAAAGAATCCTATTAAAAGAATGTATTTAAACTTTGAGGTCTCACATCAAAACTGATTAACAATTTTTATTACATATTAGTAATTTTATTTCTATTTAATCAAAAAGATATTTTTGCATGGGTATATTATTGTAGTCAAAAGGAGTTATTTCCACCCTATAAATCAAATATCTTCTTCATTAACAGCCGAGTCTCTAGCCATATCCGGTATCTTGTGTATAATAAATTTAATATATTTGATTACACATATTCTTTAATTATTTACAGCTTAAGATATTACTATATACTTTCATATCATACTGTTCGTTTCTTATCTTTTATTTATTGTTCCAATTTATGCATATATTCTTTAAAATAATTTAAGCTTTGTAATTTCTTTTTTAAAATACCTAAAAGTTCTTAAATTAAAGCTACTGTTTTGTAAATTACATTTGGCAACACTGCCGCTCGTAAAAATGTTCCCTGCTATAGAAATATTTTTCGCACATAATTTTTAGGGCGAGACGTTGAGACGTCAGCAAACAGCTTCAACTTGTTAACCTGCTTTTCCAGCTTTTCCGTCTCAGTCTTCTTAGCTTTCTGTTTCCCTTACTTTGTTCCTTTCTCTTTTTCTCTCTTTTTCTATGTTACATCGCCGTTGGCATTTGCATGGACAATCTACGCGCACTTAAGCGGCGCCTCTATTGTTGGCCGCTTTACCGAAAAAAGCGGAAGAATGAAAGCAAAATATTTAAACGCCGCCGCCGTTGCCGTCTCCTTTCACTTCTCCTTCCGCCCCTTTTCCCAGGTCGTGTGAATTTTCAATTAAAAGGCGCTTTTCACCCCGTATATCCACACATCCACACACACATGACTTTTCCGGCGAGCGAAATTAACAGCTCATGAAATATGCCCCGAAATGTATGCAACGCCCGGCCCCATTGTTGTTGTTCTCAAGTGCTAGACGCGTGTCCTTGGAGGACGACGAGAAATAACGATGCCAGGAGCCCCACAGGCGCCAAGTTAATCACCTGGCAAGCAAAGTTATATTTTCAACTCTCTCTGGCAAGAGTCATTAGTTCAAATATAAATAGATTCATAAAGCAGTGAGGACCTTGAAGCATCCCTTTTCCTATTTTTCATCTCAGATAGTTTCCTGTTTCCTGTCCGCACTCTATATTTTAATGAGCCTCTCAATATGCATGACACACGGCTTAAATGTGTAATTGCGAATGTGCGAGACCACGTGCTCTCATTACCATCTAGAGCGGCATCAGCGAATATTTTGCAGAGTGACGATGATGACAGCGGGGCGTATGCGTAATATGCGAATACGTAATATTCTCATATAGCGTAGTGCCACTCAACGTGGCCGCATCCACTGCATCGAATCTATGAAAATGTATTCAATTTGTGGCTGCTCCAGATAAGTAATACTCTTGAATTTCTTCATATTCGATGAAGAGCGAAAGGGAGAAATGATTGTACAACTTGTGTGCTTGCAAACGGAAACGATTTATCAATTGAAATTGGGCGAAAAAAAGTACGTATGTATGTATATGGGAAAACATTTTAAGAACTCTCCATTCAGCTGCTTTTGAGTGTGAACATATACATATACATATACCGCCATCTATATACATATTTGTGCACACACATTCATTCTTGCATTGACAGCTTTACAAATTTCAATGCATTTGCTCGGCACTCACTGCCATTCGCATTCAGCGCTCAACACTCAATGCTCGAACGTTCAAACATTCCCATTTCATTTCGCAGATGCGGGTTTTTGTATGCCGAAAAGTTTTTCGGTTCTTTGTTGTGTGCAAGACTGCGAAGTCTGCGCTTAAACTATCATAAAATAATCACAATGAAAAATCAAAAGTTGCTCCGACAGGACCGCCAGGCCATACAATAAATCAAAAGGAGGCCTTCTCGGCGCTCACATGCATAATGAAAAGAGCAGAAGAAGAAAATGGAAAACTCTTGGGCGGGTGAAGGCGAGAAGGTAAAAACTTTTCTGCGCTTTTGTTCGAGAGTGCAAAAGTTCAAAGGGCCAAGACCCAGGGAAGGCGCAGCAGCAGGAACAGCAGCGATATCTGCCAGTTTTCCCAGCTTCAGTTTTCAGGGTTGCAGGTGATTAACGGCATCAGAGGGCGGGAAGGGCGGCAACTTCCATTTATTTCTCGTTTGTCGTCCAGATTTGAAAAATGATTCAACGTCTGCTAATAAATTTGTGTTGGTAATTAAGCACCGAGCTAGGCGAGACGGAGTGCAAGGCGCGAATTACAGAGATGCGCAAAATTCCTAATTGGAACATTGCGCAAAAATAAACAAAAACAGAAACTGAACCGCAGCAAGGCAAACATTACTCAAAATGGGATGATGGACTGCTAAATTCCCTTTATCATTGTTCAATATTCCTACAGAATGATTTCCACAGTTTGAAAAGTAATTCTTGTGTGACTACAATTCTTTGATATAAATTGTATTACAAAATTATATATTATTGCTTAAATTGTATAAACATTTATCAAAATATACCCATAAGTCAATTGAATCCAGGGTATAGTATGCAAAGAAATGCTTTTACTGCAACGTGTTCTGTTTTTGCTATTTTGCATACCGCGCTAGAAGCAAATCACAAAGTAAATTGAAAATTAACAAGAAAGGAAACTAACTTTGGGAAACGAACTTTATGTACCCTTGCAGTATGGAATTATAGGATTAATAATAAATCTATCATAACTAAGCTTTAATTATTTGCTTTTTTTAAAACTATATTTATATATATTTTTATATGACCATTTTTCGATAAATCAAGGTAATAAACACTTTGGTGAGCCATTCGATTTGTTACAAAGAATGGCAGTTGCCCTTACCTTAGGAATGTATTAAACCGTTAAATTGTTTAGATGAAATATCTTTCAGTACTCTTAATTATCCTGAGCATCTATTTCGGTATGTTCTATTAATTTGTTATTCTTGAAAAACGGCTCATACGGAAAACGTAAAAGCTGCTTAACCAAAATTGTGTATACAGAAATAATAAAAAAACAACAGAATTGTTGATGTTCTCTAGTGGGCTTCGCGGTTTATTTCTAATGTGTTTTTATTTTCAACAAAGTTTATTACGTTTTTATTTCGTTAGTTAATTTTATGTTGTTTGTTTTTAACAACAGAACACACACCTCTTCATTGATTTCGTAAGCGGAAAACATAATATTGTGTGATTATTATTGCCGTAACTATTTGTATATAAAAAGTTTTAAATAACAATAGATATAGTATGTCTTTAGAGCCTGACCATAGCTAAAAAGAGCCTACACAACGGCTTATCCTAAAATAAATATTATAAACGCTTCAAAAACGTAAACAATAAAATATTCTTCTCCATTGCAAGCCTAAAACAAACACATTTTTTCTGGCAAATACATTTCTCAAATAACTTTTACGTCATATTTTTATAAGCTCCATTGAAAGTGCATTAAAACTGTGCCAAGTGCAGAACAAGTCAAGGAACAAGTCAGGCCGACGCCAGGCTCAACCTCAGCTTCTCCTTTTCGCCCCGTACGAGGGACAGAGTTCTGCCAAAAACTATCCTTGACTTGCATTTGCATTTGCATTATGCATGACTTAGCATTGCTTTGGCTTTTTGTTCTGTTTTAGTTTTTATTTGGTTTTGTGGATGGGAACTGGGATTGGTATAGGGTAGGTCATCAGATTTTTCATACTCACTCAGCTTCACTCCGGGCTCGCTCGATTCCTCAAATTGTAATTATTTTTGACTCCAGTATTTCCACAGCTTGGCCTTTAGGGCTTTCGTTGAGTTAAAGCATTCAAAATTATTGTGATTTATATTGCTTCTGAGAGAGAAAGAGATACGACGACTACGACTGTAAAATCCGACATTGATTTTGATTGATTGTAGTTAGTTTATTGTTAGTTATGAAAGCTAGCAGCTGCCGAATCGCGAAATCATTTTTCGACAATTGGGCTCGCGGCGAATGCCTCGTAAAGTTTTGCTTTGACACATGCCCCGAATGCGCAATATTTAATAAGCACCCCTCACACCAATATGTAGTTAATATATGCTTGTATCACTCATACGTCACGTTGCCAACTGAGGGGTGGCGGGAAAACGGCGGGGCAAGTGTTCGACAGCGGTCAGGAAAAGCTGCTTTTGAACACAGCACGTGCACTTGACATTTAGTGCCGCAAGTCCCCGAAAACAATAACCCAAGGGGCGAAGCCAGCAGGTGCGGGTTGCTTTTGGGTGGAACAAAAGCTGCACAGAACCAGAACCGGTGCCGAAATTCATAAAAATTCAAAGCAGACAGCAATCAATGACGTACAGAGTGAAATAAGAGAAAGCAAACAACAGTGGAGCAAAAATAACAAGAAAAACTATTAACTCTAATTACTTGTCTTCAAGGAAATAATAAAATTAATAATGTGAAATTGAAAATAATGTATATTTGTTTATTAATTGTATTTTGTAATGGATTTCAGATGGATCCGTCAAACGAACTTATAAAACGTAAGCTGGTCATTTCTCTAACTACAAAACTATATTTTGTCGGTACCAATAACAAATATAACTAAATATTAAATAACAATATAATATAATCGATAAGTAATTGTGAACACTTCAAGACCTTGAATAAAAAACAGATTTCCTTTGTATTTTGTGATTTCCTTCAATAGCTCACTGCTCTAAGCAGCCATAATAACCCAAGCTTGAATTTATGTGACTTTCGGATAATTCCCTTGATCCAAGATCCGCTGGTTTTCCCAGTTCTTTTCCATCGGCTTAGTCAATAACCTTTTCGATTAGTTTTCCTCCCGCATCAGCTTCTCAACTCAATCGCGTTGCGTGTCTGAACATAAAAGTACAAAAGGAACGTGGCATTTCCCCGTCCTTGATGGCAATTGTCAAGAGCGAGTTCCCGGATTGTTGCCCCTGCTGCTCCTTGAGTTTTTCCCTTGGTCGCACGAAAAGCGCAGCTGTCGCAGCCACTCCCCACCACCTCCTACACCCCCGACTACTGTTGCCACTTGTGCTTGCTTTCCCTTCGAGTGGTGCCGCCAATCATCGAAAGTGAAGTGTCCAAAAAAGAAAGTGCCGCGCACAATGGGTAGGTGGGTCCTGGAGTTCCAGCTGAAGTGGAATTGAGGGACACTAGTCAAGTTCTTGCCCGGTCAGTTAACCTAATGACCGGCATTCATGGCCATTTCCCTCTCGTGACGGCTCAAAACTTTTGCCCACCACACCAATCCAGTCTTTTATGTCCCGCCCTGTCTTTTGTCATTTATCATAACTTTCCCCCGCCAGCGGGAAACTCTTTCAATTGTCCAACGTAAAATTTAGTGGCAATAAGAGCCAGACCTTCGGGGCGGCAGTGTGGCAACTTTAGTTTATGACTTAAACCAAAGGAACAAACTCATTCTAAAATTAAAACACTTCCCCATTACATTCTTTTGCGTTTTTTTTTCAGGGTTTTGTGTTCGCTGGGGGTGCCAGGAAAAATTGTCAAGTTATGTCAGCAATGAAAAATTATTGCATAAATTAATTACGGACGATGTACGTGCGAGGAGCAGGCTCGATTCAAAATTATTAAGCACGTGCTTGGCAGGCGAAATTGTGCCCGTTTTTGAGGTCGTATGTTTGGGGGTCCTCATGGCGTATACGTAATGCCTGCCATTTGCCTTCACTTGTACAGTGTCTGCGTGTAAGGACAAGCAATTAACCGCATGTGCATACATGTTGTGGTTTCATTTGTCCTTTTTACCTGGAAACAACATTTCTAGGAAATATGTAAAGAAGAGCTTCCTAAATGCATTCACTGTCCTGGTAATTTAGCTTGAATTTTAGCTAGGTAATTTTAGTTTAAGCTTAATTTCTGGCATGATTAAATGACTTTTGAGGGATTTAAATATAAATAATAATTTATAAAAGGTGCTGCAGGGTTTTAAAAACCTTTAGATTAAATTATTATATAAATTCAAACAAACATATATATCTTTTGATTATTAAGTTCCAAGAGATTGAATGATAATTATTTGACAGAATATAAAAATAAGATTATTTTTTCAGGGATTAATAAGGATACAACCATTGAACTAGTATAAATTGAGAAACCTAATTCCATGCTCTTTTTTTCACTAAAATTTCGTATAAGCCCCTGAAAGTAATATATCTTTAAAAACGGCTTAACTGATTTTTATGGCCATGGTATTATTGATTTATCCTTGAAATACCTAGACTTCTAAGCTGTCCCAAATAAATTACATGACAATTATCCCCGAGGCACATTCCGTTGGAAATCCAATTCACACATCAATTATTAACCGTAGGAAATTTTGTTGCGTCAAATTGCGCATACGCCGCGTGGGCCACCGTAACGGCCGTGTGCCGCCTGTCTAATGAAAAACAAATCCGTCAGCACATCGCGTTGACGGTGACAGCCAAGCAACGCATCAAATTAGCTTATTCCCTCAGCCTAACATTGTGTGTGTGTGTGTTGTGACATTTTCAAAAAAAAAAAAAAAAAAAAAACTGAGAAAAGAAATCAACAACAAAACAATAAGGAAATAAATTCAAGAGTAAACACAAGTCACACGGGGCCATCCATCAGGACATTCAGGACACTTGCCGCCTCCGGTCTCCTCTCAGATTTCTCCTCGATTTCTCTTCTTGATTTCTCCCTGTCAATCGGCTGAAGCGAAAGTTGAGAGCTGAGAAAGCAGCAGATAGCTTGTTCAATTAAATTAAATATATATTCTTTTCGATGCGAATCTCGCTGCAATTGTCTTTCGCTTTTTTTGTCTTATGGGGTGGAACAAGGGAGGGTGGGACACCAACAACGTTACGCTTAAAAATAGCCGCCCGTTGGCCAAGGACAAATTATGGTTATTTTTGAAGCCATAGAAGCGGCGTTGACTGCCGCAGGGCGAGTGGCCAACAAAAAAAAAAAAACAAGTCACATTAAACAAAAGGTATTCTTCTGAGTTGTGTTAATGTTGAGTTATTATTGTTAGCACATTTTCACTTTCTCCGTCCCAGTTCTCATTTATTTTTTGCTCTTAAATTTTTTCGCTTAGTTACATTTTCCTTTATTTTTCTTGCACTTTTCTTTTCATTTAATTCTTGCTTGCGCTAGATTTATCGAGGATTTTCCCTCTCTTGTCACTCACACCACACCGCAAAACAGTATTTGTTTTTTGTTTTTCACACGTTATTTCTTGAATAGCTTTGATCAGAAACCCTAACACAAACAATGGAAAGGCGGAAAATAGGCTGGGGAAAATCCGCGGTGAGTACCGTTAGCTGCAGTGGCTTCCAAACAACTGAATTTCCGCCGACAATGCTTTTGAAAACATTTCAAACGCTGCGTTCTAGGTTGCCGTTCGTGCCATGTGCTTCGAACACGTTCGATGCGGCATTTTCATTGTTGTGTTTTGGGTTCGAAGAGAGCCGAGTGCACGGCACGAAGTTCACGTTTCCCATTTTCAGATTTTTCCCGACCGCCGCTGACCCACAAGCTGAGAGATTCTGCAGAACGCATACAAATGGCCCAAATGGCAAGGCCTGCTAGGCGGTGAGGAAAACTTTGGCTGGAAAAGCGTATTTCCGCACGAGGATCTCGCTGTGCGGCATGGCGGACCTTTGAAAAATTGCTTACAAATGGAAATGAAGCGTGTGTGTAAAGGTAAGTAGGGACATGAAATAAATGACCATTGTTGCTGCGCCCCGGACAGGTGAGGAATGCCTGACATATGGCCCACGTCCAAGGATTATGTGTGGGCTGGAAATATGGCCAGCTAATGATAATCACATAGAGCAGTTATTTAGATTTTTTGCGATAACTAACACCAAGAGTTTCCGGAGGATTTAGTTTAAGTTGCTCAGAATTACACAGAGAAATTATTTTAAAAAATATTTCTATACAAAATACATTTCTCTTCTGCTTTATACTTTAGAAGCAATACCTTTAATGTTCATTAGTTTGATTACCTCTTAGGAGTACAACTATTAAAGTCCTAATTATCTATCTATATGTTCCAGAGAAAACCACATACCATTTTGATTTATTTATATCCTTTAAAACGCTAATGTTCTTTATTAAATTACAGCTAAAGTTCCTTTATTAACTTCATAAAATCTTTAAAACTAATTGTCGGAATTCCCAGCACTGCACACACCTTGAACCATTTGCCACTGGCCACTCCACTCATTCATGATGAATGATTGTCCTCTTGGTGCCCCAATGTCAATTATTGATGATGCTCTGGACCTTTTTGTCTGACCGCAAGTCATCACATTAATTAAAGGCACGCCACAGAATCCAACAAATACGAATAGTTCGATTGAACGCAGAGAAAGGTATATATAGAGAAAGAGAGAGAGAGAGTGAGCAAGGTCGGGCCGTTATCCTGGCAGCCTCTAATCCTTGCTGAGGCTCATTCTCAGGCGTATCCTGAGCCCTTGGCCTGGCACGTAAAATATGCCAACTGTAAGGAATTTTGCGGCAACGCCTCGCATAGCTGCCAGCGTGTAAAATGAGCGATAAGCGGAGAGGAGAGGCTGGTTTCGGAGGGAGGTGAAAGCAAAGAATGAAGGCAATACACAGAGAAAATTAAAGGAAATTATAAATAATTTATGTTTTAGAACAAGTATAGGAAATTCAGGTAAGTTATACTTTACTATATATGATGCAGGGAAAGAAAGAACTTCCCAATCTCCCTGAATCTGGCAAGATAGCTCAATATGAAATAGGACAATAATTAACAATAGCTCCTTTACCTATTTATATTTAGATTATTTAAAAATGTGTATATTCTTCTCTATAGTTTTTTTATAGAAAATAAATTCTTATAGAATTGTATAAGAATAATATATCTTTCTACCAACCTGAAGCTCTCTGTGCATAGACTGTTGAGCCAATGGATGGAACTGGAGGATTGGCGAGGGAGTTAGCTTCGCCTGCAGTTTATGGTTGTAGTAGTTAATAAAGCGAATACGGAAAGCCGTAAGATGCGAAAGGATACGGAGAATGGGAAATATATAAGGAAATCCAGGGAGGAGGCGACCAGAGTCGAGCACAGCTTGGAGCTGAACAATCAATTTCACGTCAATTGGTTCATATTTTATAGGCTGAGCCTTGGATGCGATGACGAGTACGTCGACACGGATGTCGGAGAGGATATCGCTGGCAAAGATGCTGGAATTAAGGTTATAGTTCGAGTCGAATTCCTTGCTGCCAACTAATGCCCCAAACGCAATACTTGACCCAAACAATATTTTGGCACTGACAGCCCGGCTAAGCTCGCCCAAACAATTGAAATGTCAGCAGTTGTTGTGGGCGTGTAATAACTGCGCTGCTGGCCAAAAAAAAAAGGGAAATGACAACTGAAACTGGAACTGGAAAAGCGGCTTAAGCAGCCGGAAAGAGAGACTGAGTCCGACTTGGGTGGCTCCCGGGGAACTCATAATTTGACAGGTCGAAATTGAAATGCACTTACCCGGGCAACAGCTGATCGGGACGTGTTGAAAAAGACATAATCCTACCTGAAAGCAATCAATAAAAGAGCACGTTTCAGCAGGAAAATAAAGAGAACTTTAAAATAAATCCATTAAAACTTTAGATGCAATTGCTTTTCGATTGATTCTAGTTTGTTCTTTTTCTGAAAACAAAACCATGAATGTTTCCATAGATGAAAATATTTATTTAAATTAAAATTAAAATGTATTCTTTTCTTATTAGTCTTGATTATATAAATTCTTTAATTTATAAAGGGTAATATTTATTATTTAATTTAAATATATATATATATATAATTTTTTTTTTATTATATTAATTGGATAGACATAAGATTTTGTTAAGCAAGAAGTTTATAAAATATATTGTCACTTGTTCAAAAAGAAAGAAATAAATTTACATTCTTAGTTAAATTTTAAAGCTTTATCCAATTGATTGTTGTAATAAAATGCAGAATTTTCCCTCTTCGAGGGTCGTCAAACTTTGGAAAGCCATCCTTGGACTCAAACAATGTTGTTCCATTGCCAAACCAAAGCTGACTACGCAAAACTTTTGTTTGGCAAGCGAAACGCGTTCTATGCAAAACTGTAAGCGGAAACCGGCGGACTGGCTGCCATGAGGATGAGACCAGAGACCAGACCGAATTTGGCCAGATTAGGAGCAGGCTGCGTAATTTTGCAAACGGCAAGGGCAACATTTGATTGATTGCCGGCGCGCCGTGTGTGCGTTTGGGCCGCCAACCCGGCGTATGCGCAATTTGAGAACATAACAAATATGGCAAGCGCGTGACTGTGGGGGCTCCTCCTTCTCCATTAATTGCATCTCTTTAAGCGAATGACAAAAAGGTCTTTTTTTGAGGTGCAACTAGGCTGGCCTCCCCTCTCTCTCGCTGGTTCTTTGTGCTAATGAGCAGGTGTGGCAAGGTCAAATGTGCAAGCACTTAGCCTAATGATAAGCAAAGAAGAATGCCACAGAAGTGTATGAAAAATACCACTGAGAGGCATTAAAACGATGGCCAGGGAAAGCAGTACGGTTAAGGAGAACTACACAAATCGCTCAACACTTGCCAGCACTTAATGGGGAAAACCACATGATAAAATTAGACGATTAGCCGTAACCGCAAGTACAGACACACACATATAAGAACTAAGTACATACAAACAAAGGGGCGTAGTCTATAAAGGGGCGAGAATTGATAAAAATAATGTAGTAGAAAATAGCTTCATAATATCACTTTAATCTCGTTTCCTTTAGTGAAAATTTCCACCTTCATGGTCTACAAATCACGCACAATTTCCTTGTTTACTCCGAAAATAGCCCTGGAGCATCCCCTCTGGGTCGCGACTCTGTCAAAGAGCACACAGAACGCAAACCAAGTCCATCTGCAGACCCCGACTAGACCGAGTAAACAATCGGCGAACGCGGCTGGCGATTCATGCAAGCTCCGGCACTCGATTTCGATTTTAGAGCACTTCAATCCGTGACCCCTTGCAGCTCTAAAAAAAATTAAAATAAAAATAAAAACAGAACAAAAAACCACAAATATAAAACCATAAAACGAAAGGAAATCAATTTTTTTGTGTTTTGCGCAGTGAATATTTCCGCTGTGATAAATCGTTTGAAATTAGCTGAAACAAAATATAACGAAGAGCGTTAAAGCAATTAATACTTGACACAATGCCTTTGTTTTCAGCATAAACAACACCAGACTATAGAAAGTATTTAAATATCTATTTAAATACTCTTTTATTAATTCATTTGGGTATTAAATAATTGGAAGTCAAGGATCAATGTTTAATAGTATATATTATTATATAAGACTAAGAAAATGCAAAGCAAACTTTTTATATAGTTAATGTTATGCTAAATATTTTACAAAACATAAGTATAATAAAATCTTATATCCTTATATCCTTGAGCTCACTTTTTAAAGGGTATAAAATACTCCCTCATTTTTCCAAAAATTCAGTAACCCATTTTATGTGAAACGAAAAATGTATGATATTTTTACTATGCTGACACACTGCTGACTTTGGTTTTTCTAAAAATCATTTCCCATTTTATTTTCTGTGGGCAAAATTCTGGCATTTTTCTGCATTTTATTGCCTTGATATTTTCTACAATTTTCAAGGGTGGCGAGTTTGAATTTAATAGCTTCGGATTTCAGAGAATATGCAATTGTCGGGGGGAACCACATCGCTACGTGCTTATCCAGCGATAAAAGCAATGTGTTTTATGAGCTTTAAACTTCTAGATTGGATTTTTTTCGAAATGAACATTTAATTGTTTACTCAAGTTGCTGGGTGTGTTTACTTTAGATGCAAAATTAGTTCCCAAAGGGTAATAAAAACACGCCGTTCGATGCTAAACAGAGAGCGAGAGTGAACGAGTTAATCTAAGCGGGAAAATCTAATAAATTACAGTGCAAAACAGTATGACAAGTTCTGTGACTGTGTGTGACCTTGCCCATCACAACAAAAAAACACACACACAGATGGGTCCTTGCCCTCCATTTAGCCTTCTTCTGCCTTTTTTGATAAATTTGAAAACTGTCAGTTTGGAGCGATAAAACAGGAATACTTCCACCACCGGACCCACATTCCGGAAGTTTATCGCAGGCCACGCGCCAGTTTCCCTCAGGCTCAAAATGTGGAGGAGAAAAATATAAGATTAAATTACATTTTGCACACAGTTGTGATTTTCATTAATTTAGTGCACATAAACACACACAGTCAAACCCAAAAAAATCATATAAAAAGAGAAAACTTTTCCAAAAAATTCCAAATCAAATAACTTTGCAACTTTTTTTTGGCTCGAGGGAGTGAGACAAACCCAAACCACAAACAAAAAACAAAGTTTACCAAAAAAAAAGAAAACAGTGGCAGCTGCCTCTTAATTATACTCAACAGTTTCAAAGGGCATATTGTTTGTTCTAAAGAGGATGTAACATATTTAAATTGCTTCTGTTTTTTTTAGGATTAAGCAGAAAACAAAGTTGTTAACTGCTCTTTTTGAATACATTATAATATATTTATATAAAATAAAGTGCTGAGATTTCTTTATCAATCCCTTTCAAAGGGCATTCCAAAATTGAATAAGATTGTTGTGACTGGCGCTTTTGGCAACACTTTTTGAGCCATTGTCATGGTGGCTCATTTTGGCATTACGTATACGCAACGTTGGCTTTCACAAAAAAGTGAACTTTTTTGTCTCCTGGTTGGAGTGATATCCTTGGCGGAAATAAAACCGAAAAAGCTAGTCGGAAGGGAAGGTAAGAAGATTGGAGGACAAAGTCAAGTAAGCGTGAAACTCCACTGACATCGTTTTAGCTGGCTTTTTTTTAGAAATAGCAGACAATGTTCATCTGAGTGGGAATTTGCAATCGGAAGTCATCGATGGTGCTCATAAAACATTTTCGATGGAAAGCACTAGCATTAAATGAGTTTTAAGATGAAAGTATTCCAGGACGAAAAGTCTTACCATTTCTCATTTGCAAGCAGCTGCAAGAAAGAGATTTTAATGTCAAATTATGGCAACTTTGTCCTTGCAACTTGCAACAGTTTCGGCAAACAAAACACAGATTAAAAGGCAACTTTCAGTTCAACTTTTTAACTGCATTTTTTATTGCCAGCTTAGTGCCCATCGTACTTGGTGATAATTAATGTATATACTATTCTTAAAAGATTTAAAACAGGTTATTAACATGCAAATGTAAGGAATAAGAGATCCCCAAGATTTTAACAAAATTTTGAACATTTTTGGTATGGCCCAACAAAATAAAGGTGTCTAGCGTTTAACACCATTGAGGGTAATTACAGGGTCAACAATTACGTCCATTTGAGCAAGGTAATTAAGACACGTTTTAATTGTACCCAAAAGTTATATAATATCAGCAAACGTTTTGTCGCCTATCTAACTGTCTTTAAAATGTTTTCTCTTCGCCGGTCGTCAGAGTGACTATGCCTACAGGATCTATCCTTTGCGTAGAGGGGAATTTTCCTTTTCCTTCTGGTGCCCAGCTCATTTGGGTTGTGCTTCATGCTCATGTCTATCCATTATTTATAGCCTGAAGGTGACAAGCTTATAATTTTATATTTATTAATATATTGCCATTAAACATATGTACAATGCATAAGTAAGCCAAAAATGCAAATAAATCTGCATACTGACTTTTTCAATATAAGGAATTAAGGTTTTTGTCAAATTTTGGCAATTTTAACGATGTCCCCTTATCAAATTGTAAAAATTTTGAAAAAAAATTAAATTATGCCCAGACATACTAGATCGACTCGGCTTTTTATGCTGATTAAGAATAATAGGCTCGGAAAGGACTCCTTTTACTTCTTCTGACGGAACTTATAATACCCTCAAGGATATAATAATTTGTAATAATTTTTTAAAGGGGATATTTATAGCTTTTACTATATTATATATTTATGGCTTATACTATATATTTATATATGGCACAGTTAAAGCATGTCTAATGTATGGTCACCACCAGACAGGTGTTAATTGCTGGCGCTAATTAAATTTAATTATCAATTATTTATTAATATAATTAGTTGAAACCTCTATAAAACCAGCAATCGACAGAAGTGTTTTGAAACTGTCTAAATATGAAGTCCGCCCCACCGGTTGTCAGGAGTGAAAAGCTCTACAGGACCTACTGGCTCTACTGGCGACTTCTGGGTGTCGAAGGCGAGTATCCATTCCGCTGGCTACTGGATATTGTCATCAGCTTTTTTATAACCTTCTGGAACCCTGTGCATTTAATAATCGGATTATTTAATAAGTCAACATCGGAGGTGTTTAGGAGCCTGCATTTTACCACTGAATGCTTTTTCTGCAGTTTAAAATTTGTGTGCTTTCGATGGAAGCTGGCCGAGATAAAGGCAATCGAACGTTTGCTCAGGGAGTTGGATAAACGAGCTGAGAGCGAAGAGGATCGCAGATTCTTCGATAGAAATACAAGACACATGGCGGAAATTGTCTCAAGAAGTTATTTAGTAGCTGGTATTTCGGCCATAATCACAGGAACTGCCTCTGGCTTATTTAGCTCTGAGAGAAAATTAATGTATGTGGCCTGGTTTCCTTATGATGTTCAGGCCAATTCCCTAATCTTTTGGATAAGCTTTTCCTATCAAGCTATTGCGGCAGCTTGGCAATTCTGGAGAATCTGGCCAACGATTCATATCCCCAATGACTTTCTGCATACTCGCAGGACACGTAAGGCTTCTGTCGGAGCGTTTAAGTCGAATAGGATATGATAAAGAGAAAACCATGCTGGCAAATACCAGGGAACTCATTGAGAATATCAAGGATCACAGGAAAATAATGGAGTAATAATGTTTCTAGTTTTAAATATTATAATAATAATATTTTGTTGTTACAGGATCATTCGCCTGCTTACCAGAACTCTTTATACCTCTCAGCTTTTCCAGTTCATATCGACTGGCATGAATATATCCATAACGCTGCTTAATATACTGTTTTTTGCGGAGAATACCTTTGCAATTATATACTATTTTGTATTTTTTGCGGCCATGCTTATTGAGCTCTTTCCAATTTGTTATTTTGGCACTCTGCTGTCCATGGAGTTCGATAACTTGCCATATGCCATCTTCTCCAGCAACTGGCCCGGTCGAATAGGACTCATTGCCGAATCTTGATTATACTAATGCAGTTGACGCTGGTAAAGGTAAATATTAAGGCTGGAGGGATGATTGGCATCGGCCTGGATGCGTTCTTCTCCACCGTTCGTATGGCCTACTCCTTTTCACCTGGCCATGTCGTTTCGATAGGTAAGTTATATTTTTAGACAGAATAACTCACCTGCAAAGTCAATATGTATTTATTAATTTATTCAAGGATATCCCACTCTTATTTACACATATGTTACCCAACCATAAACAAGGGAATCGAACACATTTTGGTTTTATTTATTAACTATGTACGCTTAATCAATAAAATGTTGTCTCTCAATATAAATATGTATCATGTTGCCGCCTTCTAAATGTAAAAGCAAAAGACACTGATGAATAATTACACAGCATTCACACATCGAATTGAAGTGTAAAATAAACCATTAAACAAAAACCCACGATAAAATGATTCTCGCTAGTTGAAAATCCATATATTACCCTGGAAGAGGTGTGAATTGGGTAACAAAAATTACAGGGCTAGCAAATTGGTGGGCGTTATGCCAGACGTCTGTTATTTTATCATATTCCGAGTATATAAACGGAAGAACCAGAAGGCTCGTCCCTCAATTGTCTTGACCATGGAATTGGACGCGCCAGTCATCAGTAGTGGAAACATCTACAAAGTCTATGGTTCTACTGGCGCTTGTTGGGCTTGGAAACTGACTTTCCCCTACGACATGTGGTGGATTTCCTGATCACATTCTTTGTAACCTTCTGGTATCCGATCCATTTGATCCTTGGCCTCTGCATGGAGCAAACCCTGGCCAATGTCTGCAGAGGACTGCCGATCACAGCTGCCTGCTTCTTTTGTAGCTTCAAGTTTATCTGCTTCCGCCTAAGACTGGACGAGATTAAGGCCGTTGAAGTCCTGTTCAAGGAACTGGATCAGCGAGCTGTGACTGCGGAGGAACGACAGTTCTTCGATCGCAATACACAACGTGAGGCGAATTTCATTTGGAAGAGCTTCCTGGTGGCCTACAGCCTTTCCAATTTGTCGGCCATAGCTTCTGTACTCTTTGGCGGCGGACGAAACCTTTTGTATCCAGGATGGTTTCCCTACGATGTCCAAGCCTCGGCTCTCCGCTTCTGGCTAAGTGTTAGCTATCAAATAGCCGGCGTGAGTTTGGCCATATTGCAGAATCTGGCCAACGACTCCTATCCACCGATGACATTCTGCGTGGTGGCCGGACATGTGAGGATGCTGGCCATGCGATTGAGTCAAATTGGACATGATCAGGAAGCGGACAAAAAGGTGATTGCCAGAAAGTTAATTGAGAGCATCGAGGATCATCGAAAGCTAATGAAGTAGATTATTATTTCACTGTTTAAAAAATTGAGTTTGCTATATAAACTGATTCTTCCAGAATCGTTGAGCTGCTGCGCATCACCATGAATGTGTCCCAGCTGGGTCAGTTTGCGGCCAGTGGCATTAATATATCATAACGCTTGTGAACATCCTGTTCTTCGCGCAGAATCATTTCGCGGTTACCTACTACGCCGTGTACTTCATCTCGATGGTGCTGGAATTGTTTCCCTGCTGCTACTATGGCACTCTGATCTCCATCGAAATGGGCCGTCTGACCTATGCTATATACTCGAGCAACTGGCTGGGCATGGAGCGAGGATACTGCCGTTCTCTGCTCATCTTCATGCAACTGACTCTGGCCGAAGTTCAGATCAAGGCCGGCGGCATGATTGGCATCGGTATGAATGCCTTTTTCGCCACCGTGCGACTGGCCTACTCCTTTTTCACGCTGGCATGTCGCTGCGATAATGAACAATGGCGAGGAGTACAATGGATAATGGATAATGAGGCTGGTGGTCGGCTGGCGGGCATTTGGCGTCCGCATTTGCATGCTCGCTTAATTTTAATTACCACTAATGGCGGCCCATTAATGGAGGCTTTATGAAAATTGCATTGGCGTCGTTTAAATGCCATTTAACCACCGATTTTGCACACGGAAAAATTGAATTTATCCACGAGATTGTAGCGAGAATATGTTTGGAGATTACTTTTGAAATAATTAGTTTTGTTATGCATATAAATAAAGAATTGTGAGAAATGAATTGAGTCTTAAAACTCTTACATATTTTTTAAAACTGTAGCAGTTGATTTCCCTCAGTGTTTCTTTTCAATTTCTTCCTTAAAAGCGCACTTTCTTCCAAAAGGATATCCATTCAGTGCGCCATGGTGCTCATTAATAGTGTTCACTTATATCGACCATTCTGGCTCTGCATGCGAGTGCTAGCTCCAAGCTTCTTCAAGAAATCCACACCTTTGGTCAGGGCATATGAGGTGGTCCTGCATGTCCTGGTCACCATGTGGTTCCCACTGCATCTTTTCCTGCATCTCCTGCTGCATCCCTCTCCGGCGGATGTATTCAAGAACCTAACCATATCGCTGACTTGCGGCTCCTGCAGCCTGAAGCATTTGGCTCAGTTGTATCGCCTGCCGGAAATCGTGGAAATTGAATCCCTGATCAAGCAGTTGGATGAGTGTATCGAAGGAGATCTGGAGTATCGCTACTACCAGAATCATGTGCTAGGCCTGGCCAGCGCTTTACCCGCTGTTTGTACATCAGTTTTGGTATTGTCTACGCTGCATTTTTAGTCGTTGCTTTCGCTTTGATTTTTGATGGAAATGGAGAACTAATATATCCAGCATACTTTCCCTTCGATTGGGAACGAAACCCATATCTCTATGGTGTGGCCTATGGCTCCAATTTATCAGCATCATGGTGGAAGGCATCCAAGGCCTGACCAATGACACATACTCACCATTGACACTATGTCTCCTTGGAGGACATATTCACCTGTGGGCCCTACGAATGGCAAGACTTGGGTTTAAAGAGGAGGGAATAGAGGAGCAGTCTCCAACTGATCAGCATCAACAGCTGCTAAAGTACATTGAACAACACAAGCTGCTGATGAGGTGAGTTATAGTTGGATTTGAATAAAATTTTCATATAATTTATGAATATATATATTATATATATGGCAGACTTCACTACCTGACCAGCCAAACCATCAGTGCTGTGCAGCTGGTCCAGCTGGGAGGCTGTGGCGCCACTCTGTGCATCGTTGTCTCCTATGTGCTGTTCTTTGTGGGTGACTTCATCTCACTGGTTTACTACCTGATCTTCTTTGGAGTGGTCTGTGTGCAGCTCTTTCCCAGCTGCTACTTTGCCAGCGTTGTGGCCGAGGAAGTGCAGCGTCTGCCGTATGCAATCTTCTCAGTCGCTGGTACAATCGATCCAAGAGTTATCGTGGCGACCTGCTCATCTTTACCCAACTTACCTTGGGTGCCACCAACCGGGTGATGCGTGCCGGGGCCTTATAGAGCTCAATTTAAATGCCTTTTTTGCCACCCTTAAGATGGCCTACTCCCTGTTCGCCGTCGTGGTTCGGATGAAGGGCAGATGAAGGGGCTCTGCCAGTGGCTTGTTAATTAAATGGTGGAAAGATGGCCATCAGATGCCGTACTTACTGCCACCGTTACGTTATTGATTTTCTCCCCTGAAATTGGCCAAAAGTGGGGCAATCAACGCATTGCAAATGAAATTTCATTAATAGGCCCCGTCGCGATACGCAAATAAACAGAACCGTTTGGGGCAGCTTCTGGTTTTCCGTTCCGAACAATGGCACATTAAAGTGAATGAATTGTTTACGTATACGTACAAACCGTTTCCGAATCTGATTTCTGATTTCTGTTTACGTATATTATTGTTGTAACGCCTGCATAAATCTGTATGGAATCGGGCTGCTTTTGTATTGTTGTAATTAAAAATAAAAGAATGTAGACCCATAATAAATATTTCTTGGGTTTTTAAATAATTTTTGTTATTCTCTTGCTTAAGTTTAGGTTCCTGAAAAATATCATTTTCATTTTTCTTTACAGTTTATTGACTTTTGAAGCAATTGTGGGAAATTTTTAAGGGTTGTCTTGGGCCAGCCCAAAAGTGCGTACGTGATCCAAACATGTTTTCTGATGCTTAAGCCTTTTTTATCTAAGAAATTTAATCAAGCTTAAAACATCGTTGTATTGATATGAAATTTTAAGCAGCCCGAGGATGTACGCACAGTTTATTAATATTTTTAATTAAAACTCTTGCCAAGCGGGAATAATTGAATTCTGAAATGTTTCCGCTGTATTACTTTTGCTTAAATTGGTTGAAGAAAATTAAAGTACTAAGAATACCCTTATTTTAAAAGTATTTATTATAAACTTAAACTTAACTTAATTATTATTTCAGTGAAGCTTATGAAAGGGCTGTATAAATAGAAAATACATATATTGTATATACTATATCAAACCTATAAAATAGGTATTACTAGGTTGTTTTTAAAGACACTTAAATTATATATATAACAAAACAGATTGCACAGTTTTGTTACTTTCTTTAAAAAAGGAAGTCGTTTTTTAGTACTATTTAATTATTAACTCTGAGGCTTTTTTCTAGAATCCCTTAGAGTCCTTATGAAGTATTCCCTTTTCCCATTAATCGCTGAAATTAAAAGGTAACCGTGAATTAATTCCCTGATTCCAGCGTGTACCTGATAGCTTCTCGAAATGGAAAATGCTTGTGCAACAAGGATGTGCTGTCGTGGAAACGGAAAATATATTAAAAAGTATTTTACTGCCATGGCATGGAGGTATCCTTTCGAGCGAAATGCAAATGACGATGAGCCGATGGCATTGCGGGCCGGAAAAGTGGCAAAAGGACATGGCGGACTGCATAAGTAACCAGGAAGGAGGCGATGGACTCGACTCGGACTCGGGACGTCAGCAAAGGAGGCGTGGCCAAGGACACGCGAGAATTCACACCGTGGCCCTGTGGCAATTTATTGATGCCATCCCAACGATGAGTGCGTACAAATTGCCTGAAGTGTAAGGGTAAAATGTCGCTACACTGGGGTTTTTCAATCAATTTTATAAATTTTAAAATGATTTTATATATTTTATATATAATTATGAATAAATAAACTTTACTTGGGAATTTAATGAGTAAAATCAAATTATTATAATTTGTACAACATTTGCTGAAAACCTGGACTTCTACAATATTTCTCCCAGTGCAGCGTGAGAATTGCGATAAGGGGTTGTGTCAGTTCATTTGTCGCCAGCAGATGGCGCTTTCCTATCTGTCGAACACGCGAAAAGCAGCAACCGAGCAGCCATTAAAATGTCCCCCCAGCAACACTTTTGCGTCATTATTGAAAGCAATTTCCCACGGCAAATAGAAAATCGACAAAAAAACAAAAAACAAAAGCAGAATCGACAACGAAAGCGAAAAATAAAAATACAACAAAAAAATAAGAATAAAATCAAAAGCACACACACTGTGGAGGGAGACAGTCAGTTTGTGGTGTAGAAGAAGAAAATGCGACAAATTCCGGGGCTCAGGACGCAGCTTAGAGGCTCGATGCCTCGCTTGCTGCGAATATTGCGTATACGCCACCCCAGGGACCAAGAATGGCACTCAAAATGCCTTTCCCCCAATTCCATAACCCAACCGATCCCATCCAGAGTTGGTGGGAGCCACCGTCGCACAGGCCCAATTGCTGGAGGTGATTTAACTTTTTCTGCCTGCCATTCATTTCCTTTTCAATAGCACAAAAGCGCAGAAACACACACAGGCACTGGCAGAGATGGCAAAAATATTGTTGGCATACTTTTTCAAGTGTTTCCTGCCTTCCTGCACGCTGTGTGTCCTGTTCCCGGCTCTGGCTCTGGCTCTCTGCTGTTTATTTTAACTTTTGGCATTTTCATCGCCAACCAGTAGGGAATTTTTGCCTGCTGAAATAGGAAAGTAAAACAAAAAGCGGTTAAACAAAAATATGAAAAATAAATTGAAACACTCAACCGTCTCTCTGCTCTGTCTGTCTATTTGTCTATCTGTCTGTCCCTCCAACGCAAACCCCAGAAGGGCTTTCCACTCAATCAGAGCTTTGGCATTGGCGACATCGGGGCAAAGGCCCTTCCCCAGCTGTAAATAAAGCAGATTTTGGGTCTGCCCACTACTGTCCGGCCGCAGATTGAGTTGCTGTCACTCCTGCCAGAAAATCGCAATTTTATTTGCGGCATCCAGGACTTTTTATATGCAGATCCCAGAATCCAATCACATTTTCATTGCATTTTCCTACTGTTTTTGCTTGCTGGAAAATGTCAACAAAATAGCTCATTTTTAATGCAAACTATGTTGCATTTATAATAAACAGAAATATGTTTGTGATAAGCCTGAAGGCCTGGCCAAAAGTTGAGAATACTCTTAGACTAACGAAATCAAATAAGTATTGAACTGAATAAATTGCATATAAATAAATAGTTAAATACACTTAAAATTAATAATTCTTATTTAAAGCTAAGTTCCATCATACCAATTAAATTATTAAAATAATACTAAAAGATGGTGATGCTCCTTCTTAACAACTAAAAATAAATATTATTTTTATAAAAACTGTAAAATATATACTTTCATTATATATTTTTCCATTCATTTCAATACAATTTATTCCCAACAAATTCACCTTTAATTGCTATAAAAAAACAAAACCAGCTTAATTGAAATCACACTGGCAATTGCCTTGGATTATTTAATGAACGCTAATTCAGCAAATGTGTCGACTCTAATTGCCTTTTGGCAGTTGCAAATTGTGAGAAATTGCCGAGCGCACTTTTCCTAGCCTGTAGACCTGCCAGTGAAAAAGTGAAAAATGATTAATTAGCCGCCGGCAAATTGGTACACAGACTAGGGATTTTCCGTGCACAAACTGCATTGGGATTCATGTCGGAATTGGCGAAACTATTTTACCATTCCACACGACCAACTCAATTACAACATGGCCGGTTGGTCGGCTGACTGCCTGCCTGCCGCGTTGCCGCATGGCCATGCAATTTTTTCCCGCGAGAAAAACAAGCGGAAAACGCGCATCAAAGACAAACAAAGCCGGTGGGTAGAAAGGGGATGTAATGGGAGACTCTCTGCGTTTGTGTGTGTGCGTGTGCGGGAAAAGTGTCCAACATGTTAGCGTGTTGGGGCGGACAACCGAACTGCCGGCGCCTAAAACTATGCTTCGCGGAATGAATAACAGAGCGGATCAAGTCCGGCGGCATTTTTTTTTTTTTTTCGGTGCTTGCAAATAACACTGAAGGAAAAACACTAAGAGAAAAAGACCAAAATTTAATTTCAGATGAAACCAAGAATAAATAAAATGAGAGTCAAAATTGTTTCCTGAATTTCTGTTGCAATCTTTTCTTTATGCCTTTTGTTTGGTAATTAAATATGCACAATTTTGATAGTAAACAACAGTTTGGTCTTTCAAGACCAATACACTTCAAAGATAAGTACTTATCCAGTTTTGTGTATACACTATACAATAATATTTTAAATTATATAAATTACAAATTTATTTAAAATATAAAACAGTCATTTTTGAGTTACTTTTTTACCCTTGGAATGTATTCTAATTTCAATAAGAAGCTTCAAACGCAGTGAAGAGATCATCAATTATTTATAGTTTTTTTTATTATTAATTAAATTTTATTGCCTATATTTTAATTTCTCTGAGTGCTTGCCGGCTTCTCCTGTATTTCAGTCATGCATGACAATTTTTCCAGGCAGTTGCTTGTTTTGCTTTTGGTTCTTTTGGGGGCCTGGGCTTGGCTATCCTCCTGTTATTGTTGCCGCTCCCTTTGTTTGGCTCCCCTTTTGCTTTTTTTCTATGTTTTTTGTTTTGTTTTTTTCTCTGTGTTCTCTGCTCTCTGTTTTCATACGCACTGACACAGATGTTCTGCGAGGACGAGCTGCTGTGTTGTCTGTTAGTTACTTTTGTTTTTACAGCTGATAAAGTTAGCACGCTTGGCAGTTCCAGTGTCGCATCCTAAGCCGAGTTAACTTGGCCCTATTAATAAATCCTGCACATGTACGAGTGGCTCAAAGGGAAGTGCTTTAAGGTCGAATCTCATTTCGGCCTTCATCTAAGTTATCCATATAAACTTTAGAACTCACTGTTTCGTTGCAGTACGAAATGTGATTGGTTCTAAGTAACAAAGTGTCCCTCATCTAATCATAAATCAGTGCATTGCGTAAGACCTAAGGGAGCTATGAAAACCCCCCTCTGATAACCACTTCCGCTCTCTGGCCCTGCACTTGCCACATCTCTCTTACATATGAGGCTAGCTAGGTCTCTGGTAACTACGCATGATGATGAAAACCTGTCGTATAATGAATCGAGATAATCGATAAACTGGGCCCGGTTACAGGGGAAGTCCATTAGAGCCACCGTTCCAGCCTGGCGCCTCTTTTACTTATGGCCAGCTATCAAATTTCCTTGTTTCCAACTTTGCCAGGTAAAGCGAGTACGAGTGCGACTATTTTGCAATCGGATCTCTCTGGGGGCGGATGAGGGATTACAAAATTTCAAATTCATGAGACGAAAGCGCATTGTTTGTTGGCCAACAACGAGGGCCACTGGTGCAGCAGGCCGCTGCTGCCCATTTCCCATTTCCAATTTCCGTAGGCAATGTCGCCTGACCAATTTCATAAGCGCACCAATTCCGTTCCCTTTTTCCAGCCCCAACTTTGGGCCAGTGGGTGACTAGTTTGACTGCAAAAGTGAATGCGGTGCAGTGTATCTCTGCTTTTGAGGAAGGTCATTTGTAACCCTAACTAAACAAATTTGAAAGCTGGCGACCGTACGTATCGGTGTGGTCTGGTTCTGCCGATGGCCCTTTTGTTTCGTACCTGTCTTATAAAAACGGCCTGTGGGCGCTATAGGAGGCATCAGTTGGCCATCAGCCGCAAGTGGTAGAAGCAGCAGTAACAACAGCACCGGTATCAGCATCCTTAGAGCAAATTACCAGCGACCAACTAGGCGAATACTTAACGTCAGCAGCCATGAGACGGGTAAGTTTTCCGTCAAAAACCGCCGACGGCTATAAATTTTCCCAGCTTCAGTGGTGTTGTGCTGCCATGTAAATCCAGCAGCCGGCAAGTGGAAGTTGGTCCCATAAATCAGGATAATCAAAATACAAAACGATAAAGGCCAAAGCGTATTAGGCCAATTTAAATGGCCCACAGCCATGGCACACAGCAAAGTGGAATCAACAAAGTTGGCTTAAAAAGCACTGGGAATATGGAGAACATTTAGGAGTGCTAAAGAACGAACTTAAAATTAGGGAAAATAAGTATATATATCTTTTGGGTACTAAAGGCAAAGTGGAATAGTTTTTTTTACATTTTCATAGATTAAACTTATAAATAATGTATTATTATGATAAAATTTTAAAGACAAATTCCTTACCTTATATCATTATTTAAAGTGTTTTTTGGAACTTCTGTAGAACCACGAAATTCTGATTATATTTTTTTGAGACACATTTGAGAAAAAAGAGTTAAATTATTTAAATAAAATTTCATATTTTACAGTATTTCAAATTATTGATTTTTGGTTAACTTTTTGCAAATATCAGTGTAATTTTCTAACTTTTTTTGTCAAACTGTAGCAGGATTTTTGTGCTCCTTGAAAGCCTGACATCCTATACAGTCCGACACATAAAAATAAATGCCCAGAACTTTGCCTTTTGTCAGTTACATGAATCGCCTGTTGTCGTTTTTAATTATGGCCCTTCTGCAAGTAACAAATAAAAAGGGAAAAATACAGGAAAAATAAAGGAAAATGGGGAAAAAAGGCGAAAAGCGACAACCAGAAGGGAATGACAAATTGATGAGGCCAACAAAGGGGTGATTTATATATGGAGGTGGACCATTTAATCCGATTCCTTACTGTGAATCCCTTTTAATTGCAGACCTACTTGTTGCTCTGCCTGAGCCTGCTGACCTGCCATGTGGCCCACTCGGCCTTCCTGCGACCCCTCGATCTCAGTCAGCTGACCAAATCCTCCAGCCTCCAGCAGCAGCAGCAGCAGTTGCGCGGCGACCTGAACCGAGATGATGGCAACGATGACGATGACTCCACCACCTTGGCACCCAACTCTAGCGAGGACTACGACTCTCGGCCACAATACAGTTTTGCCTATGATGTGAGGGACACTCTTACGGGCGATGACAAGCGGCAGGAGGAGAAACGTGATGGCGATCTGGTCAAGGGTCAGTACTCCCTCATCGAACCCGATGGCACCCGACGTATTGTGGAGTACACCGCCGACGATGCCAGTGGCTTCAATGCCATCGTTTCCAAGCAGCGTCTGGACGAGCAGCAACAGAGAATCACTTCCTCCTCTTCGTCGTCGTCCCGCTTCAACAGCCTCGAGGAGCTCCAAACCCGTCTCACTGCCCAGGCCATAGCCGAGGCCCAGTCCCTGGCCGAGGCTCAGCAGACCAGCCAGCTCCAGTTGGAGGCCCAGAGTCGTCGGGAGTCGGAGAACCAAGCTCGTGCACAGGCCCAGCAGCTGATGGAGCAATTCCAGCAGCAGGTACAGCAACAGGAACAACAGCGCCAGCAGCAGGAGCAGCAGTTGAGGGATCTCCAGCGTCTCCAGGAGCAGCGGGAACGTGAGGATCGGGATCGGGAGCAACGTGAGCGGGAGCTGAGGGACCGAGAGCAGCGTGAGCGGGAGCTGAGAGAGCGGGAGCAACGTGAACGTGAGCTAAGGGATCGGGAGCTGCGAGATCGGGAGCTGAGGGATCGGGAGCAGCGGGAGCGGGAGCAGCGTGAGAGGGAGCTCCGGGAGCGGGATCGTGAGGACCGCCGCCAGCAGCAGGAGCGACGCCAGAACAGAATCAAAATCAGAATCAGAACCAGCGCCTGCTCGACCAACAGACCCTGCTCCTGACCCAAAGCCTGCCCAGCATCCAGGCCACTGTGGTGTCGCATCCGCCCACTCTGCTAGCCTCCCGTCTGCCCGCCTCCGGTAGCTCCAGCTCCAGGACCACCACCACTCTACTGACCCGGGAACGTGACCTAGATGCCTGGCGTCAGTTGCCCAGTGCCCGTCTGACCATCGATCGTAACTCCCAGCCTTTGATCCTGAGCCAACCCTCCAGTGCCACTGTCCAGGCCCAACTAATCAGTTCGCCCCTGCTCCTGGACTCCGCCAACCTGAATGGATTGATAACCACCCGCCTGAATGGCAATGCCGCTCGAGCTGGAGCCGCTCTGAGCTGGACCAATGGCCGCCGTCTCCTGAACAATGATCTCTGGCAGCTGGAGAGGCTGGATGATCGTGAGGATCGGGACGAGCTGCGTGCCAATAGCGGTGAGCGGCGTTCCAAGAACTGGTAAAAGCCAGCAGTCAAAGCCCAACTTCAACTGAACTCAAAAGTAAACTCAACGCAGGACCTCAGCGATCTGATAAACGGACCACGAATATGTTTTAGCTCGTAAGGATTAGATTGAATCTCGTGTTAACCTAGCCTAGAATCGGGGATTTAGGGGACGCCACACTGTCACACTCTCGCTTTCTGTTCAATTAACGCATACAGCAAACTTTGCCAAGAACTAACCCAAGCTCTAACGCTTTTCCTTCTCTCAGCTAACTTAGGCACTAAGTTTAATTGTCTTTGTGTTACTTTTTAGTTAGTCAACTGCATCCATGTGAAAATGTAAAAAAAAAATACAAGAATAAAAGAGACAAGGGCTGCGAAGTACGCATGCCCTTCTGCCAATGAATAATGGTGTTTTAAACAAGGATACAATTTTCAGACTGAAAAATCTGTATAAACAAGCACAACTCCCAATTAAACCTGACTAACTCGTCGCAGTTTTAGAAGAGCCATCAACAGGTGGCCAGGGATTTGTGTCGCTTCACTCCTTCTGCCCAACTAACCAAAGCCAAGTTGACCCTAATCGCCTTTCATGGACTCTGACACTTTGGCCATGGATGCTGCAGTCTCGGCCATAAGTTTTCCTCCATCCACAACGTTTTTCCGGGCTTCACGTGTGCCACGCCACTTGGCCATAAAACCCCTTGGAGCCAAGTTTCTTTAGGGCAGCAGGAAGCGGCAACAAATTTTTTAATAATAAACACGACGAGGAGAGAACGCTGCAAAAAGTTGGCTTTCTCCATTCCATAAACTTTGTCCCTGGTACACTTAAAAATAAAGTTGCAGTTGAGTGGTTCCAAGGGGGGCGGAAAAGGGAAGGTAGCTGCTGCCAAGGTTGTTAAGAGCCAAAGCAATAACAATTTGGCAGAAAGGTAATGAAAACCGTCACGGTCAGGTTCGATTAAGATCGAGTAACCTTGTGCCTGTTATTTAAGGTTTATATACAACGAAGGAGGTAATGCTTAAGGATACTCGTAAATAGGTTTCAAAGACGCTTTATTTCTGTGTATCGAAGCTGAAACTTACGCTGGCTTTTCTCTAGAGAGAGAGGGATTTGAAGGATCTAAAAACTCGAATTAAAATAAATTGGTGTGCACTAATCCCCTTGCTTCATTAGTTTAATTAAATCCTGAAAGTCTTTTAATTTATTAGCTTAAGTCATGGCAAAACTCTCTAGCTTTTGCTCACTTTGAAAATATTTAACAAATCAAATAGAAATTCCTTGTTTAAGTGACATCCAGCGGCGGTCCCAAAGTCATGACCGGCGTTCGTGAGTCCTTTGCCGGGAAATCACTTAAAAGTTCATCAAGAGTGCAGCTGCTTGTTGTTTGCAATGCTGCCTGGGAGCCCTTCGGCCCAAAATAAAACAAAAAAAAAACCTGAAAAACTAAAAGAAGTGAAAACAGAAAAGCTGAAAAACATTCGCGAATGTCAAGTCATGCGACGCAAAACACAGAAAAACCAAGCAGCTCACAAAACTAAACGAACCTAAACCTAAGCCGGTAAGCGATGCTTCTCCTCCTCCTCCTTCTGCTTTTCCTCCATTTTCCAACTCGAAAACCTTTGCAACTTCTCATTTCCGCTGCAGTTGGCGGGAAAATGTTGACCATGCTTCGGGGCCAAACCAGACAGTTACGACTTCTTAATTGGCGTCTGGACCTATGGTGCGGTTTCTTGCTGCTGCAGATTTCCATTTCACAAAATCAAAGCAAGTTGGAAAAGCAAAGGATCCGGAAGAGGAAACTAAGATACTCGCTTGCTTCATAGATGCTAATTTGTTCGAAATCAAAGTCAATCGGGGTACAGGGGGGATTAAGAAGTTTGAATCCATTATTTAAGGAACACAAAAATATTTATCATATACAAAACTTGTTCTTTATTTAAAAAATTATATTTTTACCGGATGTTGCTAGTTTGACTCACCTTTTGATGCTGATCAAGAATATATATATTTATAGGGCCGGAAATGAGTCCATATTGTGTTTCAAGCTTCTGACTAAAATTATAATACCCTAAAAAGGTATAATAATGTAGCAAAGTTGTTGATTTAAAAATTATGCAAGGGTAAGCAATCAATATTCGTAATAATTTATAATTAAGTTAGGCTGTTGACTTTGAGTATACATTTGTAAATATCAAAATACAAAGCTAGCACAACTGTTTCTAAACCTAGATCCTTCATTTAGGATTTATATATATAAATAATATAATTGTCATGATTAAGACTTACCGCATTAGAGGACACGTCATTAATTAACTTCTTCGGTGCGGCTTCGCATGGTCATCATCAACGTAGGCTTCTTCCTGGTTATCCATTGGCCAGGAGACATTATCCAGGTCGAAGGGCACTCACTATCACTATCACCTCACATGGTAACACTGGGACGGCCGCCGACTGACTGAGGCCGGCGAGAGGTCCGTACCTGTATTTATAGTCCCCGGGGAAAGAGAACAGAGAAAGTATGAGCGAGAGAGCGAGAGCGCTGTAGAGCTCTACAGCGGTAGCGGTAAGCGTAGGGTAGCGTTACAGCGTAGTGCGTCAGCGTAGAGAGAGATATCTAGACTGATCAGAGATAGAAAAGCTTTGCTATAGAGATACACACAGAGAGAGACAACATACACTTAGGGATCGTTCCAATGGCAGCTATATGATATAGTGCCTGATTTTAATTAAATTAAAACTGCAATTATAAAATAATAAAAATTGGCTTCATATCAAATTAAGTAAAAATATATTAATAACTAGAAGAATTATAATTGTTTTCTAAAAATTGTCTGATTGCTCCCTTGGCAGCTAAATGATAAGTCATTCGATCCAGCCCGTTCCAATTTATATACTAGTGAGAGTATATAAACAAATAACTCCAAAATGTCTTCAGATTCTTTTATAGTCTTTAAGCTATAACTTTGTTCTCTATTTTATAAACATACCTAATTTAAAACCTTTACCTTAATATTATTTAAATAATTCCTAAGCAACCTTGGCTTTTTACATTCAGAAAATAAACCTAGATAATAATATTCACACCAAAACGAAAAGCTCCCAAAGATGTCGAAATATATCGTACGTCCTTTGCTGTTCCAGATCCAGCCCGTGATCCTTCGCCGCCTGTGCCAGGAGACACCGAAGATGTCAAACACTGAACGCCCGCCAAGGATCCACCAGATGAGGGTACGACCGACAAGTGTCGACCATGATGGCATCGATGTGCCCGACTTTGTGCACCCCGCCGCCTTCCGCCAATTCAGCGGTCCGGATGAGCAGCTAGGCCCAGGAGCTGGAAAATCCGAGAAGTATAAGAATGGGCACTACTTTGGCTATCATCGCTTCTCGTTTCATGAACTGCAGACCCAGGCCATAGATCTACGGAACGAGATGCGTCTTGACTGCGGACTTCAGGCCTCCATTGAAGCGGATGGGGAGAAGGAGGAGCTGGAAAAAGAGCTGGGAACTATGAAGAAACTGGAAGAGGAATGCGATGAGATTCTGGCCGCTCAAGCCAAGGAAATCGAAGCCGAGGAGAAGGCGGCGCAGGAAAAGCTTGAGAAGATAAGGAACTTAAAAAAGAGAAGTTGGAGGAAGAGAAGAACCTTAAGGCGGATATGAAGCTTGTGAAAACGGAAAAGCTCGAGGAAATGACCGTAAATGAGCTAGAAGAGTGGTGTCTGAAGAAAGAGGCAGAAATTAAAGAGAAGGAAAAAGAAAAGGAGAAGATGCAGCTTCTTGAGAAGGAGAAGCTTGAGGAAATGACCGTAGATGAGCTGGAAGAATGGTGCCTAAAGAAAGAGGCAGCCATTAAAGAGAAGGAAAAAGCTAATAAGGAAATGAATCTTGGGGAAGTGAAGGAGCTCAAGGAAATGACCGAAGAAGAGCTAAAAGAGTGGTGCCTGAAGAAGGAGGCAGCCATTAAAGAGAAGGAAAATTAAAGAAGTCAAAGAGGAGGAAAAGCCAAATGATGAAATCAAAGGGAAGGAGAAAACCGAAAAGAAAATCCAGGAAATGAGCGAACAGGAACTCTTGGATTGGTGTCTCAAAAAGGAAGCCGATATTAAGGAAAATGTGAAGAAAGAAGCAGATCAAGCCAAGAAGGACTCAGAACCGGAAGCCGAAGATAAATGAAGCTAAGATATGTGCAGAAAAAAAACATAAACAAAGGAAACTTAAACCAAAAAATAAATCTAGAACAGGAACTCAACAGGAAATGTGCAGGGGAAAAGGAAAAAAAATTTAGGGAACCTCTAAAAAACAAAAAACAAAGAAGACAAGATCAAATGAAATGGCATAAAAATAACAAATTTTAATTTAAAAATTCAGCCAAGACAACAACACCTTTACAAATTCAACCAAGCAAACTCACCACTCCTCTGGTGAGTCCTCAGTAAGCACTTCGCAGCAAAGACCCAACCCAAGCACAGTTTTACAAGCATTGGCTATTCAAACTTAGCCTCTTCACTCGCACTCGCCTTGAGATATCAACTTCAACTTGCAATTTGAATTGTTAATAAATGTGTATCAGAAATTCACATAAATTCAATCAACACGCAACAACGGTTTCTATAAAACTGGGGAGCCTAACGGAAACCCCGAATCGGGAACGGGGTTGCTGCACAATTTCAGGGACAAATCTTTAGTAAATTGAAAACAAAGTCGAGCGAGGAATGGAACTGGGGGAAGATCCGCCACGAGGTCGTCATTTGTATATACATAGGTACATACATATCGCTTAAAGGGGTCTGGGAACTGAGAAATATCTGTTTTGCATTGATCTCTATGAACCGATAGCTAGAGTCATTGTCATCACGTGTACGCCGCTTACTAATTAACGTTAGGAAATTCCCCGAAGCGAGAGAAATATTGAAAGGGAGAGGTGAGAGAGAATAGCTCTCAATCTACATGGTATCGAGGTTCTATAACTCTCAGATGGTGTTAGTATTACTCAATTGCCATGTAAACAAAATTACTATCTTTTATTGCGTGTGCTTCCCACTGGAATTTGGTTTTATAGCAATTAATTACAATAAATGTTTCCATATTAGTTGTATATTATCTTTTATTAACTTAGATGTCAAAAAAAGAAATTAAATTAAATAAAGACTAAGAATAATATTAATTTATACATAAATACGAAATTATTTTGTAATCATCATATCTGTAATTTGTAAAAACAATAAAGTTCTTAGCAGAATATACACACAAATTTAATTAAAAGATTGAATAAATTAAATTATTATATTTCAATAATGAGTGAATTTTAAAATCTATATAATATTATAATATAATAAAAATAATTATAGATAGATAGATGCATTTATACAAGGCTTATATGGATATGGAGGGTATTTTTTTTTAGTCAGAAGCTTAAAGCAAATGCATTTTTGAAATTAAAAAAAAAAAAGGATGCAGATTTATTAACCTAAAAAACTAGCGCAGAACAGCTTTCCGAATTAAAATTAATGGTTTTGGCTTAATTATGATGGTTTCAAGTTGGGTCCCCTAATTTAAACTGAAAAGGTATGAAAATTCTATTTTCCAAACTTAGTTTCTTACCTTGCAAATAATAATTTTCTAAGAAAATCGTAGTTATAGATGGGTTTCTTTATATTTGTTATGCATATTAAATAGAATATTACATTTTTTGCATGTTTTAAAAGTTGTATGTTTTTATTAAAGATCTATTTAGTAAACTTATTTAAAATCAATCTGAATAAATTCCTTAATTTAAGCAGATAATCCATAGATTCTTTATAATCTTGTACCTTTTCCCTCTTACTAAGCTCACACTTAATAAATTATAAAATCACCTTAATACCTATACTTCCAATATTTAATATACTCTTTTATATCCCATTATATCATATTCCAACCATAATTATTATCTTACTTGTGCATAGAGACGGGAAAAACGTACAAGAAAAATACCTTTGAGCCGGCAAAAGCTGTTGGGCACACGATGCGCCTCGTTTTGCAGGCATTTAAGCTGAAAATTGCTGCTAAAATATTTGCACACTCCACAAGCTGTGCTGCAGCGTTGTTGATGCAGTCTATGTGGTTGTTGTTGTTGGTTGTTGTTGGTTGTTGTTGGTTGTTGTTGGTGTGTTTTGATGGTGTTTTTTAGCCGATGTTGTTGCTGTTGCAGCTGCATTGATGCGTCGCCAAATGTTTACCCTAAGCCCATAAATGCAGCCTCTTCTCTGGTTCTCTCATGGTGAATGGGACACTGAAATGAAATATGCTAAATGATTTATACTTCATTAGATAATATTAAAATTTTGTCAATAGCTGCCTAAAACTTAAATCTTTTTTATAGGAGTAAATCCCTCTACATATTTGTGTTTTATTTATTTAAACCCCTCTGTAATTTTGGCTTAAAATGAAATAAAACCTTCCCTTTTTTTTTGATTTTTTTAAGTGTAAGCTATTGCTCTCAGTGCTCTCACTTGCGATCTATGCCTGGCATACAAAATGCATCTAATTTTGGGCCTAACGACAACTTGTCGCTTGTCATGGCCTCCTGGCCTGGGCTTCATTGCTGCTGCTGTTGCTGTTGCAGTGTTGCAGGCCAGTGTTGTTGCCGCTGCCTCATCATCATTTGCAACTGCTGGCAGGCAGCATCAGAAAAAAGCAGCAGCAGCTGCCTCACTTGGGGATCAACTGGCGGAGATCGCCGCGCTTTATTTGTGTAGCTTTTAGCTGCGCCTCGTAATCGCGGCTCATAGATCAAAAAAGCACTGGCGAGCAAGACGCGTGCTAGCTGCTTCTCTTTCTATCAGCACAGAGAGAAAAATAGGGAACCTGTGATATATATAGTAGAAGGACTTAAGGCACAAGATAAAGGTATAAAATTAAATGAAGGGTCTTAAGAGGCAGCCTCAAAAAACCTCTTAAAACTTTGCACAACAATCGATTTTTTAATGAATTTAACCATGGCAATTATGGTCAAATGCTGTAGAAAGTACTTAGTAAACCTAGTAAAACTAATATTAATCAAGCATCAGTTATTTCACTTTGATTATTTATATACCATATTTACTTTAGAAATTCTCAATTTCTTTCCGTGTACCAATTTTGCATAACATGGTCAAAGCAAGTTCCTTTTGTTTTATGTGAACCAAGTCCAGTTCTCATCGACCTGGCGACCAAAAGGAAGCGGGCAGGAGAGATCGCATTCCGACGCACAGCTGCTGTCTCTCTTGCCCACCCACGCCAAGTGAAAACAAAAAAAAACTAAAACTAAAAAGAGTTTTCCCACTGACCGAAATGAAAAGAACTGCAATTCCCACAGTCACAGCATTTTCCATTTTCCAGCCAGATTCCTATTCCGGCACACTCAAATTAGCCATCTCATTTTCGCTCTGATTAAAGGTAATTTTCAAATTTTCCCAAACCACCCTGCGACAACAGACATCAGTGATTTGGAGCTAGAGATGGAACTAGGTAACTTTAACTAAGCTCTGAAGGATTACTTTTTGAAAAGGTAAAAATATAAATAAGAATTTGGTACAAGTCTAACTTTAACTATGCAAGTTTCATTGCAATTGCAACATTTAATTGATAGATAGATAGATCATGGAAGCCATATATTAATTCATTATATTATTATATTATATTATATTAATAAAAATGTAATTATTATTATAATGTAACAATATTATTAATTATTAAGAGGTACAGAAATATTAATAAACATATCATAACATGCTTTTAGCATCTACTTATTGCCACTCCTTAATAGTACCCTGCTTTATTAAATGTATCTTAAATGGGTACATTTTTCTACATAGATACTTATTACACCGAGTACCTTGTACCTTTTTTTAAGTAAAGCTTAAGGAGTGCATTTCCCATCACTGACCACAACAACGTCTGCAACAGCAGGCGGCAACTTTGGCACTGCAATTTCGATTTCGCCTGTGTCTATTTAATGATTTCAAATCGAGCAGGCCCAACAACTTCCCCCTTGATTTTCCGCCTCTTTTTCTCCACACACTTTTCTTGACCATTTTCTGCAGCTGTGGAAAACAAAATAAGAAGGATAGGAAAATTGCCGAAACTAAAACCAGAACGCGTGCGCATTGAATTATGCAAAAATGTTAACCATTTGCCGCCAATCAATTTGTTTTCCTGCCATCTGGCTGGATTTTCTTCCGTAGCCAATGTAATGGAACAATGGCATGTAGATCGCATTAACAATGCCATTATTTTTATCAAAAGGATACTACATTTATGTCTGACTTCGTTTAAGTCTCGTTAGCAACATTGTTATGAATTTATTAATATAATCATATGAGGTATAAAAATTACTTGACAATTGTAAGTTAATTTCTGTTTTATTACTAAACAATATCGGATGAAATATATATGATAATAAAAACTATAACCAAGTTTATAATGTGAATTTTAATTACACTAAATGGCAATAATCCTGCTGCTATTTTATAGTAATAAGAGATTTAATTTAACAATAAACATGATAGGAACTTCAAGAAACTGAATGTTGCCCTTTGAAATTGGATGAGAAAATCGTAATTTTAAATCGTTCATAGCTATGCCAATAATTTATTAATTTCAATTCGAAAAGCTTTTATAAACTAATTTTAATTAGGTTAACAAATCTGCATACAAATTTTAAAATTTTGGAAAATTCAAATTTTTGCCAATTATTTGCCCTTATAATTTTTTGAAAAATTTGAAAAAATGTCGAAAATTTTATTTGCAACCACATATGGCTAGGGTCGGAAATGACTCCTTCACGGGTTTTTAAGCTTTAGACTAAATTTTATTTCACTGCAGTGGTATAAAAATAACATGAAATGAAATTGATTCTTTTTGTATTTCTTATTTAAAAACATTATTAAAATATATAGGCATTAATATTATATTTTATATAAAGAAAAGAAAGTTATAAAAGGTATCCCAGTAAAACCAGACTTCAATAATCTGTTTGTTATTAAAGAATGTGTTCATCATTTTTCTTGTTTTTATAATCTTTAGATTTAGTTTCAGGAATAATTTTACATAACTAATTCATAATTCTAAGTAAGAAATACTTAAATTGTGCCACATGATTTAATATTAATAAATTTTTTTTTATTTATATTATACTAACCATTTACTTAATAAATGATAATAACGTATATTCCCCTAACCAGTATAGACAACTTATAATTCAATTTCCTGGAAAATATATTTACAATTTGTTGTAAGCTTTACCTTATATTAGATCCTATAACCTTCCATTCTCCAGAAATTCCCTAAATTAT